GATTCAAAATAAAGTGCTATTCCGAAATGTCCCCTAGGGTATGTCTACACTACCCTCCTAGTTCGAACTAGGAGGGTAATGTATGCATACCGCACTTGCTAATGAAGCCCGGGATTTGAATTTCCCGGGCTTCATTAGCATAAGCGGGGAGCCGCCTTTTTTAAATCCCCGCTGCTTCGAACCCCGTGCCGCGCGGCTACACGGGGCACGAACTAGGTAGTTCGGACTAGGGTCCTACTCCGAACTACCGTTACTCCTCGTGAAACGAGGTGTACCGGTAGTTCGGAATAGGCACCCTAGTCCGAACTACCTAGTTCGTGCCCCGTGTAGCCGCGCGGCACGGGGTTCGAAGCAGCGGGGATTTAAAAAAGGCGGCTCCCCGCTTATGCAAATGAAGCCCGGGAAATTCAAATCCCGGGCTTCATTTGCAAGTGCGGTATGCCTACATTACCCTCCCAGTTCGAACTAGCGGGGTAGTGTAGATATACCCCCAATGCTTGAACAGAGAGAAAGACTGGACTGGAGAGGACATCCCAGGCACTAGGACGGACACGCCCTGGCTTTCAGTTGGACTGCCCCAAGAACCCAAACAAGACCCACTACTGCCGACTTTCAACTACGGTGGGCCCTCTGATTTAGAGTGTGTAACCCTGAAACATTCGTAACTGAGCAAAACGTCATGCTTGTTTCTTTCAGACGTTCACAAATGAACACCGACATGCTACAGCCTTGAACTGTACTATGCAGACGAAAAATGCTGCTTTCCCTTGATTTTAAAAATTGCTTATGTTTAACACAGCACGCTGTTCTCTTGCCTCTGCTGCTGCCTGACAGTGTATTCATGGTTCCAAAGGAGGAGTGTGGCTGACTGATTAGCTTAGCTCCCGTGTTCATAACTCAGGTTCCACTGCGCTACAGGGTGAGCCTCTGCTCCCAGTGCACTTGCAACCTTTCCTCTTTCCCGTCAGCCCCACGACAAATGTTCCCTTAGCCATGTGCCGGCTGACGGGAGCGGGGAAGAGAACTGCCCAGGGGCCTGGGCGATTTACAAGAGCCACTGCTGGCAGTGCAACAAGGCTAAGCAACTTCCTACCCACCTCGCTCTGACCACTCCCAGAAACGGCTGCACAGTCCCTGAGGGCCTGGGGAAGGGGGTTCTCTCTGTGTGCTGCCCCACCCCCAGCGCTAGCTGCACAGCTCCCATTGGCTGGGAACTGTGGCCAATAGGAGCTGT